AGGCAATACAGTTCACTATGACATCCTTTTCCACTACAAAACTGAGTATTGCCAGCTTCAGAAGAGAATAAATTTCACTGTGGAATTAAGTCAGTAGTGTTACCAAAAAAGGTAATTAAATTCTTTTCTGAGTGGGAGGTAAGAGGGAGGCAGACAGACAGACCTCCTTCTCCATGGGCATAAACAGAGAAGAACATGTCAGTCACCAGCCGCTTTTATGCACTCTGGGGCTCTCCAAATAAAGCCACATGTGTCCCAAGAAACAACACTCTCAACTCGGCATAACCTGTAACGTCCAAACTTCACTGTGCTGCTTTAAAAAGATTTCTTTGAAGGGAAGAGAAAAGATTCTCTCACTTGGGAGGTCAGATAGCACACTGTTCCAGGACCCAGTGCGGAGTCTGGGTCCCAAAGACTCCCAACTCAGGCTGTCAAAGAGCAGACAGCACAAACTATGCATGTGCCATGGCTAACTGTGTATATGCCTCCGCTAACGGCCAATGAGGCAGGGTTCCTGACCCCTCAAACGACAATGCTCCAAACTTGGACATAGCTGAAGGGTCAGGAGAAACCTAACTGCAAACAACAGCTTTCTCATAACTAAAATTCTACATTTCTGAATTTTAAGTCAACAACTGTAACTTTTCTACGCACAAAGTTTAACATTCAGCTATATCGTTTAGCAGTCTGCTGAGTTCAGGGGAAAACATTATAGTATTTTCACCAACTCACCCATATATGTGAGACGTGTGATGAACAACTGTCATCGTAATTATTCAAAACATATGCATTCAGTTTAAATGGAACTCAAGGCTGTTTACCTCACCTGTGTATGACTCAGGATTCCCCTTTCCCATCACTATGTGACTCTGCTCTGATGCTACTGTAAGAGTCATTCCGAAGATGGTAAGTAGTTTCATTAACTGGCAGCACTTAATTACACTGATAAGTTTATTGGGGTAGATCACAGTGTAGAGCTGAAAGGGCCCTGAGACAGAGAATAAATAATTTATCTCAAGGATGAGGGAGAAAGAAATGAGACCCAGAGAAGTTAAACTTATCCAATGGTCCACAGATACGGATCTGAAAAACAGGTGGACTAGAGACCAGAATGCTAACCCAGCTTGAACAGTAAGTAAGCCATGTAACCGTGCAAAGGCCATGTCGTTGTTTGGCATTCGTAGCCTCCTCACCTACGAAACTAGAAGATTAGATATGGGCCCTCTCAACTCTAACCTGCATGTCTCTAACCTCCTCTTTCTTACATCTAGACCTCACTGCTGTACATCCCATAGGTCCTAACAAAATGAGGCTGTAAATTACTGTAAAAGTCATACCATTGTGCTTTCTCTTGTACCAAGAATAAGAGGATGAGACAAACAATTCAGCAATAATTACCGGAAGCCTGATCACACCACTGCAGGAATCCATTTCAACAAAACAATTACAGACAAAGCCTATGCATTTACCCACTAAGGAACTTCATTTCTAAACTAGTTCCAAAAGAAAAAAAAAAAACCTGCAAAAACCAAAACAAAACAAAAAACTGCCAACAGCCTATATGCCCAGTAGAGGCCTAGACAGAGACTGTGGGGGGAATCAAGTATCACATAGAGATTAACTCACAGAATGATCTTTGGTATTTTAAAAGTTGCAGTGTGTGGGACAAAGTCTGCCAAATTTGATTGAAAACTTAACAGCGGTTATCTCTAAATGGCAAAAAGGGCAAGAAATTCCTTGACCTCACTGCTTGGCCTATTTTTCCTTTTTCCAGAGTAAATCTATTTACATAATTTTCAAAGTTTAAGGATAAACATCCTCCCCTTTAGCGATCAGCCAAGTTGTGTCAAACACTTCTGGCCATAACTGTGTGTACCTGACACAGATCCACCTGTAAAGATCTGCAATAATAGCTTCAAAATATCAACTATATTCCCATTTCCCAACAAAAAATTAACATCAGAAATAAGTACCCTAAAAAATAAAGTTTAAGAACTAAATGCCTACAAATTCTAAAGGGTTATTTCTTTGCCGCACACTACAAATCTTCCAATGACTAGTACCTGTCTTTGTGCTACCGGAGCATCCCCAGAAGATGAAAGGAAGGAAATAGTGTTCAGAAACCCAAGTCTCTCACTTCCAGGAACAAGAAACACTACGTATATACTTCTGGCTTTAATGATTTTTTGAAGTTTCATTATTTTTACTCACTTATTTTAATAAATCAATAATTTGAGGCTTAAGGCTAAAACAAAGGTATATGTTTCCTAGTAATATGTGTACTATTAACCCTAAGATTTTTCCTAGCCACAAGGTGGCAGGAATTTCCATGTTAAATTCTGTCTTAGAGAAACAGCCTTATTGAGGAATCCCCTTAAAGTGTCATTCATAGAGCTTTAAGTAACAAGAGGCTTTTGAACTAAGTCCCTAACTTCTGATTATCAGTAGCCAATCATTTTCTGAAATGAAGTATCCTGCGCAAAAACAGGCTGTTATCAAAAGCAATGAGAAATGCATAACAGCTGCTGGCTTAGGAGCTCTCATACCTTTTAGATATTATGATAAGTTTTTGAGGTACTGTCAGCCTCCTTCAACAGCCTCAATGAGCTAAGGACTATAATTATTCCCATCTTCCAGACAGGGCTGAATTATGACAGATTAACTTGACCAGAGTCACAGCTATAAAAGGGGCACAGGGAATCCATTCCTTGGAACTGGACTATGGAACACACCCTCTTAACTTCCATGCTCCACTCACATCTGCACAAGCACATTCCAGTTACACAGATTCTCAAGAAATGATTGCTTTAAAAAATAAAGGAAAAAGTAATGTCACCTTAGTCCTCATTACCTAAAGAAGGGAGCTTTGGATGGCTGCCAAGGAAAGAGCACGAAGATACCATGCCAGGGTAGTTTAGACAGCAGACAGGCATTCCAGACCGACAGCAAGCTTGCAGGGTTCAATGGAGCAAGTTCTGGACGGACCAGCCTTCCCCAGCTCAAGCCACTTCCAGCTGCACTACAGGCAGCTCAGAACCAATGGGTTGAATAAGAGTTATTATTTACCAGGTGCCAGGCCATTTGATAAGACCACTGTCTATAAATATGGGCATACATGTTAGTTCTTGTCAACTCTCATTCTGTAGCTGAGAAAACTGAAGCTCAGAGAGGTCAAGATTTCAGTCTGAGCTGCCTGACTCCATGGTTCAATGCCTCTTAAATAAAATTGATTCTCCTCAAAGAATGATAATATACTCTGCATCCTTTTAGATGCAATTTTCACAGCATTATACACAGAACTGATTTGTCCATTCTTTAAATCTATTAACCTTCTCTGAATACCCATTTGTTTTCTAATTCTCTTTGATCTTTGGATTCCTGAGGGGGAGAAAACCCAATTTCTTACAAGGAAACTCAACTTGGGCAGGAATTAAATCAAGTGTTTCCTCTCCCAATACTCCTTCACCACTGGGAGGTACATCCTTGAGCAAAGAGGCTGTACCTTTATTCATTGGTAACTTCTGGTCAATAGTTGTTACTCAATAAATGTAAATAAACTGACTCTTAGAACAAAGGATATGATGACTATTTCCCTCACTGAAACACCCAATTTATTTGTTTAGATTATGCAATTACCAAAGCTACAAATTCCCAACAGTCTTCTCCTCCCTCCTTGTGATAAACAGGACCCTGCCAATCTCCAATGACCACTAGGAAGTACTGAAGTGTCTCCACACTCAGCTTGCTGTCATGTTAGGATTCTTTTCAGCAGTTAATTCTGCCTTGACCAGCAGCCTACCCTGCCTGCCACTTGTACTTTTAATGCTCTGGGGGTACTTTTTAAGCGGGCAGGGGGTGCTAAATGTCAACCTGTCCCTATTAAAGTTCACTTTAAGTCTCTTCAAAGTTGTGAAGGTGTGTCTCCAACACGCGCTCTCCCACACGACTACAGAACATTAACTTCGTCATTTTCCCTCTTACTTAGCTAGCCTCACATCAATTACCAAATCAGGCAATTAGAACAGGCCGCTTGACAATCTCCAGATATCCTTGGGTTTATCATGCTATCCCGTATCTTCCATCTAACAAAGAGTTAACTCTACCAAGTATCTATTACAGGTCTTTGTAAAGACTGAAACATGTAAATGAGTGGAGCCTCTGCATTCCCACTGCTCACTTTTGCCCCTCAACCTACTTGGGGTATAAAACATGAAGTTTCCTTATATGATATGTCTGAACAATAAAGTTTGTAAGAAATACGTTTATCTGGCAAATCATACCACAGCTTCTATAATGTCCTCAGATAAACTGTTAACATTTTTAAAATGAATGAAGGATACAAACAGAATGAAAAACAGAGTAGTTTAAAATATATTGAATCTTATATTAAAACATTAAAAGTAAATCTGAAGTCTCGATCACGCAAAGTGAAATGAACACAATTAGACCGATGCTACTTATCACCTACTTGATGGGCAGTCTGATAAAGCCTCGTGTTAGGGAGCAGTAAGGAGAAATGGACTCACACAGTGCTGGTGGGAATTTAAAGTAGTTCAAGATCTATGAAGGGTAATTCATCAATATCCAACAAAATTTTTTAAATGCACATAAATTTTGATTCAGCAAATCTACTTCTAGGAATTTACCCTACAGCTATACTCACACACATAGAAAATGACTGCAGAAAGGGATTCACTATGTCATTGCTCATAACTGCAACAGACCAAAATATCCAATCTGGGACTAAGTCAACTCATACCCATAGAATTAAGTTATATCCAACTTGAAGAGATATATTTATATGTATAAAAATACTCAAATGTTATGGTCTCGTTTGTGTAAAAAGGAGAAAGAATCCACAATATATTAGTCTTCATATGGTTTATCTCCGAGGAAGGGAACAAGGTAATTGGGGAACAATACTAGGACAAAGATTTGCACTACATGCATCTTCAGACCTTTAAAATTCATAAGCATGTGAATATTACCAACTTAAAAAGTAAAGTTCCACCTGTATTATGCGAATTTCCATCTCCTTCCCAGCCCTATCTTTCTTTTCCTAGTCCCTCCACGTGTGGGTACTGCCTTTGGTAACCTCACTGTATTCCCACTCTTGCTGCTGGTTTTGCCTTTCCCCTTTAGGGCTCAGGGTCCGCGAGCATGGTCTTTTCCTTTCATCTTCCCTACACAGAGGACAGTCTGTTCCTGCCTGCACTTCAGCTGGAGGTGGTTAAGACTTCCATGGTCTGCTGACACTCGGCACTGTGCTGCTGGGCACTACGCCACTGATTTGTCAAAAGCAGCATTTGTGGGACCCTCATTTCCCCTTTCTAGTGGCTGTTCATTAGACTGCCCCCAAGCCTACAGAATTATCTTTTCCTAGAGGAGATTTTTTTGATCTATGAACTTTTGCCTGTTTGTTGCATTGAAATATATTTTTTTCTACCAAATTACAGTAGTCCAATGTCTGCACACTCAAATAATGACAATGGTAATCATTAAAACATCATTGAACAAGAAAACTTAACATTTAAGACTGCCGTTAATTTAACACATGATCAACTTACCAGCTTTGGATAAAACAGCAGTAATATATGTATCATACCAATAAGAAGGAAAAAAACAAGTCTTTATGTGATTTGGCAGTGATACCCAGGCCCCGAGCTTTTTGCCAATATAATAATTCAGCTTCATACTTTATCACTCTATTATTGGTATTAAAGATATACTGAAAATGTAATAAAACTTAAACCAATGCAGTTTCTTTTTTTTTCTTTTTTTTTTTTGCAGGAGGGAGGTAATTAGGTTTACTTACTTATTTGATTTTTCAGTGGAGGTACTGGGGATTGAACCCAGGACCTCAGGCATGCTAGGCATGTGCTCTACCACTTGAGCTATACCCTCCCCCCTTGCAGTTTCTTATTAGACATTCAAACTTAAAAAGAACTGCAAGGTCAGACTTTGCAAAATAAAGTTTATGTCTGCTACCCACCAGCCCAAAATGTAAGTATTACATTTAACCTAGTTACTGCATAGAGATAAAAGGTTTCAAACTGCTTACTGTCTAGCTTGGTCCTTGCTGGAATAGGTTACATTTACGACTGCAGTTTCCGAGTCAGTGTTCACTAGAGGAAGAGAAAAATGAAGAGAAAAAAAGATTAGTTTTCTTTCTACCTTCTTCCTTTTACAAATTTGAAAGCAATTGAGAAGACATGTACCTTGCTCACAGCTTTCCACCACTCCATACTGGACTAGTAAACTATCCAGCACCTATCAGGAGGGGGAGAGAAAATTATAAATTTTCAGTTTCCCATGTTATTAGCAAGGACAGAAATATGCTTTAAAATCACAAAGTATTGTGATGGAAATGAGCCACAAAAAATTAACTGGGGTTTGGGACTACAGAAGTGAGTGAAGGGCCCCACGGAGAGCATCTGGTAGGTCCTTCTCTCCTGCCAATCTTGAGACTTCTAACTTCAAGCTTATTTAACCAAGAAGTAAAGGGGCTCAGCTGAAGTGTTCAGAGCTACAGCTGCTGGCTCCTGAGGCTGCATGACAAAGCAGCATATAGTTCCCATACACACACCAACACATTGACTTACTTCCTCCTTTCCTAGCAAGTCACGAGACAAGGGCTCGTTAAGTTTTATCTTTAAAATGTTCCTTTTCAAAGAACTTCCTTGTCCAGCTACAATGGATATATCAGAACAGACTACTCTCAAGGCAGGACAGCAAAATAAATCATAAGAAAGATATTCTACCCAGAGTCTTGACTAAAGACTAACCTAAGTGGTTTATCAATACTTGGACAGTAAAAAATATAAAAAGAACATTTCTAAGAAAATATAAAAAGTGAACATTTCTAGTCTACAGTGAGTTGGAAAATGTACAATTTGAAACTGTCTATCTTTCCTTAGCTGCATTATTTCAGATACATGTTATTCTAATGAGAGGCTATTAAAATTGTCAGTAAATTTTATTAGAGTATCAACTAGTTGTCTATGTCAGTATAAACCAAATTCAACTACCCTTCATTTTCAAGAACTGTAACAAGTTTTTCTTGAAAAGTAAAACAAAATGAGCTTCTATTTATTTATAGGAAAACACTTACTCATCAACTTTATTGCAAAATTTGAAGGACAGTCCCTTGAGAATGTTTTCTGGCCCCCAGAACACAATAAACCATTAAGAAACACACTAAATAAATTTTTTTTCTTTTTCTTTTTTTCTAAATAAATTTCTATGGTAATTTCCTACTAAAGTTAAACATTCCTTTAGAAGAAATTGCTTAATCTTAGTGGGACCTTTCAGGTTTTTACTTGGTCTGTTGAGTCCAGGTTGGTATTTATAGCAAGGTTTGTCTGGAGATGAACTTCTAATTTTTTTCTATTTTAAATAAGGTTAACACCTATTTGTAAATGGAATGGTTAGTATTTTCATAGTTAAGTTCTGACATGGTAAATTTCCTTTGGGTGGGGCCTACCAGAAAAAGCCCACTGATCTTTATCTCAAATTATAGCTACTGTTAAATCATAAAGCTTAATTTTTTATTTTTAATTCAGAACACTTAACTGGCTATTTAAAATTTCACTTTTCTGTCTCAGCCACTAGAATGCACGCTCCACGTGAACAGGAAGTTTTTACTCACTATACTAACCCCAGCACCTAAAATATACAGGTACAAAAAAGACATTCAAAAATTTCATAAGCTAAGTGACTACTTCTCAGGAGGAAATGCTAGTATAGCTTATTAGGAACTGCACTCTTCATAACAGCGCTCACCTGTTTTAGACATAAATTTGCCGTGCATGTAATGTTGATCATATTATATTTTACAAAGGCCAAAAAATAGGAAATCTTTCACAATGCCATCCAAATAGATACTATGCAATGTGTAATGCCTTAAATTTTTCCAAGCAGCAATCTACCTATATTTTTAAAACTAAAAGAAAAATTTAATACAAAAAAAGTTTTACATGTAAATTTATAGACTTCTAACAAGGTATTTAATTCATTCAATCTTAAATAATTAGAGCAGCAGGAAAGGTACATCTACCATTTAAAATTTAGTTTTCAAATGAAAGCCACTCTAATCGTAGAGCTTTATAGCCACTTGGATATCTTGAAGGGCAGGGGGCACAGAGGAGTGTGGAGACATAGGAGGAGGAAGGTAGGAAGTAGGGGGTGATTGCCAATTTAATATGTTAATTAAATTAACATCATTTGTAATTCTTCCTAAAAGCAATTTGTTCACTAAATACATTAGTCTCCACGTAGTTTAGCTTATACCACGTTAGCTTTTACTACTTTAAACACTACAAAAATTAAATACTATGATTTATAAACAATGCTGACTAAACCTGCAAAAATGCTAATGAAACTAATGTTCTCCAAAAGGCCCAATGGCAAAGTGACATATAAATTATATATGTATTTATATACATAACACACACAAATATACACATATTTATGTCTATGATATATACATATACACAGACATAAATGATACAAGTAAAATTTTTTAACTTAAATTGAGGAAATATACATCAAATTTTTTACTGCATGTATCATATAAAGTTAAATTTATGTTCAAAACAAAAGTTGCTTGTAAGAGTTAAACATTCTATTCCTAAATAATAATAAATGCTGCTGGCTGTCAACTATCCCATGTGTAAAATCTCAAAAAATTACCAACTACAATCCTATATGCTAAAAATGATGTATTTTATCGTATGTAAATTATACTTCAATAAATCTGACTCTAAAAACAAAACAAAACAAAAACCCTATAATCCCTAAAAAAAAATAAGTCAAGTATCAATCTTGGTACCCAGTTGACAACAAATTAACAACATAACGATTTTTACCTAGACATCATAAATGGATTTCAGTGGGTTTTTGATGTCATATCTCTGAAGCTTTATGCGGGTAATCACAATTGAGAGATGGGAGAACTGTCAATAGCCCAGTCAGATTCCCAAATTCCAAAAGGGTCTCCAACCCCCAAATGATTGAGCAATGCTATAGTAACCAGATTTCCTTCACTCTGTTAGGTAGGCGTTTGTCTGGCTGTGCTGTCAGGCAGAACTGCTAAACTGTACCACGCCACTCCAACGCACCGCACTCTCAGAGTACGTACGTACAACTTATGCTTGATAAGTTCTGACGTTTTGACTCATCCTGCATTAACCAGAAAGACAGGATAAATGTTTTTATCTGTCACATAAACCGCCTACCCCTAGCTTCTTGTCTCCTCTCACTTACTAGAACATCATGTATTTTCTACCTCTCCCATCTATCTCAGCCACAAGGGTTTCTTTTAAGAAGCTTTGTTTAAAAGTTAAAGAAAAAACAAAAATACTTCCACTGCACTTTTCCAACATTTTCAAAAATTTCTTAACAAACCCAAATTTTTATTCCTAACTGAATTTATTTTACTCAAGCAAGAAAGGAAACATTTCTCTAGGCTTGGAAAGTTTAAATTTCACCTGGAAGAGAAAGAAGGTATCTAGGCAAATTAAAGCCTCAGAGGAAATGTCTTGCTGGAATTCATCCTTTTATATATTTAGGACTTAAAAAGCTCACATGTTCAACTTAAAAAAATTTTTTTTGTAATTATTATTATTTTTAGAGGAGGTTCCAGGGATTGAACCCAGGACCTTGTGCATTCTAAGTATGTGCTCTACCACTGAGCTCTCCCTCCCTCCCCCTCAATGTTTTCTTTTTTTAAACGTTCATCCAAAAATAGAAATAGCAAAGAAAGGATCACATGATAAATGCAAAGACCATCACTTTCCTTAAGATAGAGTAAGTAAAATCATTCATAATAAAGTGGAAACAATCAAAATGTCCATCGACTGATGCATGTATAAACAAACTGTGGTACAGCCATACAATGGAGAACCATTTGACTGCAAAAAGGAATGGAATACTGACACATGCTGCATGGATAAACCTTGAAAACTTAAGTGAAAGAACTCAGTCACAAAAGGCCCCATATCACATACGACATGTCCATTGTAGGGAACGCTACAGAGACAGAGTAAACTAGTGCTTACACAGGGCTGGGGACAGCGGGAGGGTAAAGGTGACAGCTATCGGCTTTTTTCTGAGGTGATGAAATGTTCTTCAGTTGACTGTGATGATGGTTGTACCTATCTGTTAACATTCTAAAAAGTCACTGAATTGTACTCATTAATGAGTGAATTATATGCCACGTGAATTTTATCTCAATAAAACTGTTAAAAATAACTAAGATCAGTATTATTCAATAATGGCCTCATTTTTTGAAATCTTACAGTATCACTGAAGCACAGTGAACTGCACAAAATTTGATCAGTTTTGCCATTACATATACACTCATGAAACCACCATAATTAAGATAACGGTTTCTTCTCGCCCCTCTTCAATCAAGTAGCCTAGTTTATTCACACAAGGAATGCCAAATAAAGAACTGAAAAACTATCTTTGTACCTTACACATGGTCAGATTTCCTCTGCCACAGCAGCCCCACCTCAACTCCCAACAAAACTAGCTATATTTCAGCTGACCCTCTATGGGCATGGAGTAATTCAGGCTGTGCAGATTTATCTACTGCTGACGACTTATTCTTTATACCCACTGCTCAGGTCCCATCACCTTTGAATTACCTGAACCATGTGTCTAAATGACATCCTTGCCTCCAGCCCACCACCCCATGGCTATTCTCCTGCCAAAAGTTACCATTCTTTAGTGTCTTCAAAATGCCAAACTTCCACACGGTGTAGGAGGTCATCGATGATCTGGTATTGCCTACCCCTCCCATCATCGTCAATACACAAAGAACAATCCTACACTGCATGTCCCAATAGCGTTTCTAATAAATACTGGTACAAACTTCAAATACAAAATGATTTTCAAAGATATCTACCTTAATATCAATTTGTCTAAACTGCTGCCATTAAGATTACTTGGATAACATTCAAACCATTCCCTGACACCAAACTCTGAAAGACTTTCAACTCAAGAAGGACAACGTACACAGACCAGGTCACTGACAACCTCACAAGCCATGTTGCACATCATCTTCATCACTGATAAACCCCAGAGGGAATCTCAGC